TTTTAAAAAAAAAAAAAAAAAAAAAAGGAAAATATAATTAAAAACAAATAAATTTCGATGAAAGTAAAATTTTGAAATACGCTTCGATCGCGATACAACTTTCACGCTTCGTAACATTGACCGAACTATCGTGTTTTGGTAATTACGAAAGCTATTATATGCAGAATTGCTCATAGAAATAATTAAATTTCTCGCATCGAGGAAGGAAGGTTTTCCTCTTATTCTCGATGCAATTTTATAAGATGTCACAAGGAAACAGCGCCGACTTCGAAAGTGTTAATTCGATTTTACCATTTGAATGGTGTCTTGATTTCGAACTTGGAATCAAGTTACAATTCGCCTCTCTACTACCGTCCAAACGTTATTACGCTGTTTTAAGCCATATTAAGAAACATTCGCGCTCTATTTCCTTTACTTTTAGCCGATCTTTGGTCGTGATTTCGACAAGTATTTGTAAGTTGCAAAGTATTTCAACCGTTGGAATTTTCGAATCTGGAATTCGAAAAAGCGTGATTAAATTAAAATTTCGTTGTGTGATGCAATATGAACAATATAATAAAAATCTATCATTGTCGATTCACATAAGAGTCAACACACCTTAGAATCTTTCTTTAATTCGCCGAAAGAATAAAACTGGAACGTAAAAATATTCAAACGAGCGTAATAATATCGACATAAATAAAAAGAAAACATTAAATCTCGTTGAAGAATTGTAAAAATTCGTTAGAAGATAGATGAATAAATTGAGTTCCATGAATAATTTCTAGAAAAAGGATTAAGAATGATGCAAGGGAATTCTTATAATTTGTTTCATATCATTGATTGAAATACGTATACCTAAATGCATAATCTTGTACGATTAGCTGTAACTAATTCGTCTCTTTAATGCTCTAATCTAATTTGCATAAATCGTAAAGCTCCAAAACGCTTAATTTATTCATTTCTAGAAAAGATTTTTCAACTAAGCAAATATCGATTAAAGATCAATTTAAATAATTATAGAAATTTGTAAATTTATATTTCTTACGAACTTACTTAATTTCTCCTATCTAGTATACGATACACTTACGATCGAATATAATCGAAATCGAGCGAGCAAACACTCGAATGCGATCCCAATTTCGAAAAATAACACTCCACGAAATCTTTCATTGTGAACTGGTAACAAAATTCTAGGACCCCGATTGACCCGATAATCGTGAAAATTGTGTCGAAAAGGAGTGAGTCGATCGAAGAATGGAGCGAGCGGTTAATCGCGGGCCAAACCCTAATCAAATTGGACGGAGCCGGGTTTATCATAGATCGGGGCGTGGTGATCGATCGAGATTCGATGATTCAGGCGAGCGGATCTAGCTGCGCAACTCGTGATCGGGATCGTTGGAAAACCATCCGGCGTGGCCGTCGGGGTGGGGTCGTACATAAAGCAACGCGACGTGGTCGCGAGACGGCAATTTCACACCGACACTCGCGTGCACACGCTCGAATGCGCTCGCGGATTTCGAGCCGGATCCACGTGGATTCTCGACTGTCAGCCGCTGCATTGCCAACACGTCGTAATCTTGGTACGTTGATCACGCAGATTTCTATTATTCTTCTCCGTTCCTTTTTTTTTTATTTTTTATTTTTTTTTTTTTTGATTTTGTTTCTTTAAGATCGAAGTAGCATCGATTTATTATTAAATATTTGATGTTGCAGATTTGAATTTGTATTTGTATTGTGCATGTTTTCAAAGTTGATGGTATTTATAATGAATGAGATCAATGAATTTTTTGTTTCGTAATGTAGTCTTATTTGTTAAAATATTAAATGTCTCTAAAAGATTTAGAGATTTGTTATTGCTCGATGATAATTTCCTCGTTTAAATTCAATTACAAAAAGTAATTTTGAGAGAGTTGTTGTAATTTTACCGATCTGTCTTCGATATTTTAAATAACAATTTCGAATAACGTTAATTCTTTCAGATTTAATGCAGAGTTTAATTTTAAATTAAATCTCTTTCTCACTTAGAGAAACAAAAATTTCAATTAGAACGTTAAATCTCGTTGAAGGATCGTAAAAATTTGTTAGAAGATAGATGAATAAACAATTAATTTCCATGAATAATTTCTAGAACATGAAAAAGATGATGCAAGGAAATTCTTATAGAAAAAATTTGTTTCGTATCATTGATTGAAATACATATACTTAAATGAATAAATTAAAATGCATAATCTTGTACGATTAGCTGTAACTAATTCGAGTCTTTAATGCCAAGGTTTAATCTAATCTGCATAAATCGTAAAGCTCCAAAACGTTTAATTTGTTTATCTCTACAAAAGATTTTTCAACTAAAAAAATATCATGCAATTAAACAAGATTAATTTAAGATTAATTTAAATAATTGTAAAAATTTGTAAATTTATACATTATACAAATTCAGCACGTTAAAGATTCATTAAAAATTACCGAGATAACGAGTTTTCTCGCGTGGAAATTTTTTCAGAGATACGAACAGTAATCGTGTTGAAAAAGAAAAAAAGATATTATGAAACAAAGTAATCATCGTTGAACCTCTCGAAACTCGATTTATATTCAATATCAAAGTTTGCACGCGATTATTTATCTTTCGAATGTCAAGTAAAATTGATCGATGTTATTTGAAAAGAATAAAATAATTTTCGAAATAATATAGAGAAAGGAAACAAAAGAATCGATAAAGACAGAATCGTGCTCTGGATCGAAACTTGAGAACTCGTTATTTATGCACATGGGGAACAAGTTATTTCACCTACGATCGTTTATCGTATATCTGAATGGGACTTTTCGCAACGAGATTATTCGTTTTCGTAATATTACTCGTTTCCACACACGTTTCCTGTTATTTATTATGATAAAAAATTTTAAAACATTATTTACTCCAAAAATCTGTTCGAATTAACATTGTTCTTTTTCATTGTTTTTTTTTTTTTTTTCTTTTTTTTATTCAAGCATAGTTTTTAAACGAAGTAACTACGGAGTAATTAGAAATTGAAAGGTAGAAGAATTGTGTAATTCTTCTTCGTTGAGCAACTTAATAAGAAAGAGTAAAAACTTGACTTCTGTACAGGAATATAACGACTACAACAATATTGTATCGCGTCACATTCGAAATTGAAGAATAGTCGGTCATGGTCGATCTAGACCAAATATCACAAAGACATTGTGTAAAATGTATCGAGCCGTTCGGAGAAAGTGTAGCTCGCCAACTTGTGATTTTATTTGATAAAATCGCGTTAAAAAATTCAAGGGAAACGATAAGAAAGAGATCGAAATTTAAGGGAAAGGAACACATGCTTTATTATTGCAACATTTCACGTAACAATTTTCGAACGAACGAAGGTTAATTTGTTTTATGCGCGAAAAATTCCAAAATTTTTCGTCAAACGTCAATATCAATTTCTCGACACGTGAAAATATATATTATAAATCTGTTTCAATGAGGTCAATAGCATTCAAGAGCAGTTAATCCATTTTTACGAGTGAATTACCTGTTTGCAGTTCCAAGGATTGATTGACGTCAGAGTCGTGATCACGGAAATACCCAAGGGGATTCCTGATTTTCTAACATTCCAAGATCTACAGAAGAAATTCGTGCGTAATCTTTCCTTTCTTCTTCTCTTTTTTTTTTTTTTTTTTGTACTAATTTTACTCATACTTTAGAAGAAATTAAAAAAAGGAATTTATAAAAGGTTAAAACATTTTTCTTTTGAACTTCTGAATAACTCCACTAATTTCGAATTAAAAATTATCTACGATAAAATCAATGAAATTTTATTACTATTGTATAAATTTTATTATTCTAAAAAAAAAAAATTTCTATCATTGATGAAAAAATCTTTTTTAAATTATTGCAAACACGTTCGACGAATATGTACACAACAGATCGTAAATGGGAAAGGAATCGTACCTGCTTCGCAAATATAAGTCATGGTCGTTATACGAATCAAGTTGTCTTGATGGAAAATGAGAATCATTATGAGCAAATTAAATCTCCCTCTCTCTCTCTCTCTCTCGCTCTCTCGCTTCCTTTCTATTCATCTGTTCTCTATTCTTAAGATCTACGTTGAAAAGACTGATCTTATCCATTATCGCATCGCGCGTCAACTAATTAGATTAAAAGAGATTACAATGAAACGTTCTCAATAGAGCGAAATAACGCGTGATCGTTACATTTTGTAATTCAAATTAAAAAAAAAAACTTGATAAAGGATAATTTATCGAAGGAATTATTACATATAAAGTATGCAGAATCTGAAGCGTTATCGAATTTTGCAGAAAATACGAGATGGATCCCGATTCTTTCAAGGATTTCGCCAACGAAATGGCGGAATATATTACTAACTATCTAGAGAATATCAGGGACAGGTAAATCGTTTGTTACTATTAAAAAAATGCAATTTATAATTTCTTTAAATTCCTTTTTGGATTTCAAGATTCTCGTCAGATTTAACGAAAAGAATAAAATTTACAGGAGAGTACTACCAACGGTAGAACCAGGTTATTTGAAACCCCTTTTGCCTTCAGAGGCTCCACAAACGCCAGAAAATTGGAAAGACATTATGGCGGACATAGAAAGAGTGATAATGCCAGGAGTAAGTGTCTCGATTC